GGAGATTACAAATTTGTTTAGTCTATGGTTAGGAAAGCATAGTAAACGTGTGTAATCTATGGTAAGGGTGCCACTGTAAACTTTGTAATCTATGGTTAGGCATTGTAAATTTGTATAATCAGAAGGAAGTAACTAATTTGTATAATCTATGGCTATGAAAGCAGTGTAGACTTTGTAATCTATGGCTAGGAGGGTCATTATAGACTTTGTAATCTATGGCTGGGACGGCACTGTTAACTTTGTAATCTATGGCTAGGAAGGCACTGTTAACTTTGAAATCTATGGCCAGGAAGGCACTGTTAACTTTGTAATCTATATTTAGGAAAGCATTGTAGACTTTGTAATCTATGGTTAGGAAGACATTGTAGACTTTGTAATCTATGGTTAGGAGGGTCATTATAGACTTTGTAATCTATGGTTAGGAAAGCATTGCAGACTTTGTAATCTAGGAAGGCAGTGTAGACTGTAATCTATGGCTAAGAAAGCATTGTAGACTTTGTAATCTATGGTAAGGAAGGCAGTGTAGACTTTGTAATATATGGCTACAAGGGGCATAATGAAATATAATTTTATTTATTTCACGAAATCTGTTTTATTGTTTTTCTAATTATAATTTGTTTGGGAATCCAATTTCTCCGGTTACTGAGTTGGCAGGTAGCCATATAAGAAATATATCATTTACCTTTTCTATGGTGAAATAATGAGCATCTGTCTGATGGTATTGATACCGTATATAATTAAATACACTGTCATCAACAACGTAGGTTAGGGCTAAATCTTTGTTAAGGCCAGCTCAATTTTTTTCAAGGTCGTTGAGATGTAAATAAGGTTAGGGCATGTGATTGTTGGCGAGATTGTAGGTTAGGGTTAGGTTAAGCATTGGGGCTATGTCCAGGGTTCATAATTAGGGCTAGGGTTAGGGTTGGGATTAGCTCTAGCCCTGTTTACATCTCTTGACCTATGAAGAAAAATTGAGCTGGCCTTATCATTTAGCACTAACCTGTGTCTTATCATCAACAACGTCGGTTATTACAATCCCATGTTATATAAGGGGAGTTGGATGGCCGAATGGCCGAATGGCTAAACGTGTGCGCGATAGATCGAAAGGTCTGTCATTGAGTCAGTTGGCATGGTTTCAGTTTCCCGGTTGTACGTGACAAGGAGTAGGGTCGCTTGTCCAACCTCATGGGTTTTCTCTGGGTCTTCCGATTTCCTCCCACAGCTAATGACCCTATACGTACAAGCGAATTATTGAAAGAAATTGAATCATGTGTTGTTCACGAAATGACCTAGTTTGTGTTGACTAGACGTTGACCCCCTCCCCCTCTCTCTCTCTCTCCCTCCCTCCTCTCTCTCTCTCTCTGACCTATTAATTATACAATATTGTCATCTGCCAATATCTTCCAGATTAAATTTGTTTACAATCAATATTCTTATATACGGCAGAACATTAACCCTCAACTTTTATTTCTAAACCGATTAATACGATGGCATCATTACCATTCATTTTCCATATCTATCAAAATGAAATGTTGCCGATAATGTTTTGTACAATGTAAACACGGAATCCGATAACGATTAGGGACCATTAGATCAAGGCCAATTAATCAGAAAAAGACGCGGTTAATACCCACGGTTCTCACATGGACAATGGAATGAAATGGAGTTCAACGTCCTACAGTTCTACTCCGACTGGGTTAATGAAGACGGGCATACACCATATAGTGTGCTATGAGGGAAATTTGGCCCGGACAGTTGCGCTACGGCCTACCCTTTTATCCAATTCCAACTGCAAAGAGATCTTTTACGTACACGCCAATGTGTACACGGGACCTCGGTTTTCCGTCCCATCCAAACGACTTGTCAGGCCCTTCGTCCTGCACCACTGATAAGGTGAAACCAAACATATGGAAATTTTGTCATGTCCTTACTCATTATAGCTGCCTACGTAAAAAGGGTTAAAGGGACAATAACACTCTTGCTGGCTTGACAGCTCCAGAAAATAAAAAAATATTCTAAGTACTAGATGTGTTAGTGTCCTACCTGTTGTGTAAATTATCCATTAAATCCTATTTTACTTGTCCAGAGGGTTCAAAAATATTTTTAAATCCAAGTCACATTTGAAAAGCTTTACGTCAGGCTTTTCAAATCATTTAGTTGAATTTTTCCAATTTTTTAAATTAGGTGTGTTAAGATGAAATTTGTATCATCAATTAATTGGAATATTGTAAAATAGTACAATTTGTTGACCAGAATAAAGAATAAAAGATTGGTACATATTATTCAGTTACAACAAGAGTGGTATTGAGCCTTTAAGGGTTCTTTTAGTTATTTGAAGACGTTGATGTCAGGGAAATGTATTGTATCGTTTTCATGGGTCGACAAAACTAGACTAACCTCCGATTTATGGATAATTGGCCAAGCATTGAATTGATCTGTTTTTTTTCTTTCTTGGTCAGTTAACAAAAATCAAATGAAACATGTATAACTATAAATATATATATGGAGAGAGAAATGGGTTTAACGTCCACTCGACAGAAAGTAGGTCATTACGGGACTAACATAGTTTAATTTTATTACAATAATTCGCTTACGCGTAGGCGTCTCTAGCAGTGGGAGGAAACCGGAGGACCCTACTCCTTGTCACGTACAACCGAGGAATTGAAACCACGCCAGTTGACTCAATGACAGACTTTATGGTACAGCGCGCATGTGCTAACCATTCAGCCATCCACACCCTCTAGATGGCTATATGTGAAATGTTAATTTTATTAAACCGACGAAGGTTTCCTTTAAAAATTGCTGAAAGGAATAAGATATAAACCGTTTGTTAGTCTCGAAATGACCGAATGATACACGTTGACTCACGCCTTATTCGTAAAACATTAGCATTTATATTATGAGTTGTATAATTTGTGATCTAATTCTGTAATTGTATTCCCATTTAGCGATATTAGGGAGTAAGTTACGTGTCTCTATTCCTATTTAACCTCGTGGGTTTTCTCCGGGTCCTCCGGTTTCCTCCCACTGCTAAAGACCCCTATGCGCAAGCGAATTATTGAAATAGGGTTAAACCATATTTCAACGATAATCTGGGTCAAATCTTATGTCTATATTTCCATTTCAATGATAATTTGGGTCAAATCGGATGTCTTTATTCCCATATTAATATATCACTTTCTTTATTCCCACATGAACGATTTTTACGAGAAAATCGCATTACCTTCTTTATTTCCAAAATAAACGATAATTTGGGCCTAATCGCGTGTCTCTGTAGCCCATTTAAGAACAATTATTTGGGTCAAATCGTGTGTCTTTATTCCCATATGAACGATTATTTGGGTCAAATCGCTTTATTCCCATATGAATGATAATTTAGGGATAAGATGTTTTATTCCCTTCTATAATGGACTCAATTCCGTGAAATTTAGGGATAGAATGTTTTATTCCACTCTATAATGGACGTAATTCTGTTATGTTAGGGGATAAATGGTGAAATGACCCGGAATTTACGGATTATTTCCGTTTGCAAATGCAACGATAAGTAATCCAATTATATATAATCATTGCTAATAATTATCATGTTATAGTATTCATTTCAATTTATTAACCATAATATGAAGAATCATATTTTGTAAACTTTGGTATATTACATGTCATGTATATCTAATTTCCATTATTTATAAGATCTATAAAGTGTATTGTTATGGATCATATGTTAATCAGATTGTAAGTATTTTCATAATAATATAAAAATATGTTTTAACGCTCCGTATGTATAGGTTGTATTATCTTGTAATTAAGCCCGTTTAAATCGGGATAGTAAAACTGGTTTCTCTCTATGGCAGAGTTTACATACATGTACATGCAAATTTATAGTACCGCAAGCTTACATCTGAAAGCCTCTAACTGGTCCAATCACTGCCGAGTAACGGTTTGTGATACCTTACGCTTGTCTCTCGATTAGGATATTCCGTATTCTTATATTAAACATACATTATACAATAGCTAAATCTGCCTATTGCAGGTCTTTCTCCTGAAATATTATCTAAATTATTAATTAGACATTAATTAACTTCTCCAGAAAGTAATTAACTCTCGATGTCAACGCTAGCCTGCGATGTATACCGGATTAGGATACCATTTGCTGCTCCACTTTCATTCTTGATTTAATCATGAAATGGATAATCGAGACTATGTTTTTTTTTTATCGTACTGACTTTAGTAATGATGATCGAGGTTAGGCTGAAAATTCAATCGCTAAAATTTCGGTTCAGAGTGGATCAATTTGACTGAGATTTTCAGCAAATTCTCTTTACATTATCTAGTTTTTTTTAACATAATTATAGTGAGAACTGACAGCTCTTTGTCTAATCTTTAACGGAAAGAGGTTGCATATAAAGATTGTCTGCGATATCACTTCGGTGGAAGCGGACGTTAAATAAAGCTATTTCACACACGCGTATAAAGTCAATGGTTAATTCAATGATATTTTTATCACTTTCATGCCCAGGAAACAAAAATTACCAGGATTATTTTTTTCTGTATTGGAAAATGGAATTTATGTTAATTGAAGGAATTTCTGTAAATTACCGAAAAAAACAAATACGGATAAAATATTCTTGGTAATTTTTATTTCCGGAATTTTTTTACGTTTTTGTCACTGATTTTTTTGTTACAGTGTAGCACAATCTTGATAGTGGGAACTTAACATTATTCAATATAATACGCACGAATACAAACTGACGCGCTTAACCATATAATTAATGGTTTTCCCATATGATTGATGATAAATATGGATTCAACTCTCTTTTCATTCGAAAATAAAATGACGTACGTTGTTTATGTATATTTTGTACACAAGTCTTGTAATTGGCCTGATTTTAGAATCACCTGTCTAATAAATTTGATACATGTTTTAATATTAGCCTGATTATAATGTTTTAGTTACCATGGTAATATTAGCCACCTGTAGAATGTATATGATGCGAGTAGCAAGATGATAACAGTATTCTACAGGTAAATCATCCACCTTGTCACACCGTCTTTTCGTTTTACCTATTATTACCTGGGGATATATTTACTATCAAAGGTAAGTTTGTGCTTCTAGTATTTGTTTATATACAAAATGGGGTTTAAAGTCCTACTTTTCTGCCCTGACTCGGCTAATGAAGACAGTCTTATGGGGGACATTTTTCAAGGACAACGGCGTCACGGCTTACTCTTGTATCCAACTGTAAAGGGTTCTTTTACGTGCACGCCAATGTTTACATGGGACCTCGGGTTTTCATCCCATTGGTTATAAGGCAATCTTTGCTCAGGCCCCAATTGTAATATTAAGTCTGGGGACCGCTTTTGCGCGGTGGCAGAGGGGCCTGACAATGACATTGTCTAGTCATTCGAATGGGACGTAAAAAAAAAAATCTCGTGTGCACAATGGTGTGCACGTAAAAGAACCATAAGAATAGGTCGTAGTGCCGATGCCCACCTTCGTTAGCCCAATCGGTACAAAATGAAATGAAATGAAATGGGGTTTAACGTCCTACTGTTCTGCTCCTATACTGGGCTAATGAAGACGGGCAGCGGCACTATCGCCTACTCTTATATCGAATTCCAACTGCAAAGGGATCTTTTGCGTGCATTCCAATGTGTACAACGGACCTCGGTTTTTCGTATCATCCGAAGGACTAGACAGCTGTCCTTGTCAGGCCCTCAGTTCTGCACCACTGACAAGGGCAGTAGGGCGTTAAACCCGATTTTATATGTCCCATTACTAATTGAAATAACACATATGATCAACACAGCTGTATCTAAAAGGGGATGTTTGATGCGGACATACGCCATACAATGTGCTATGAGGGAAATTTTGCCCAAGCAGCGGCACTATGGCCTACCCTTATATCGAATTCCAACGCCAATCTATACATGGGACCTCGTTTTTTGTCCCACCCGAACGACTAGACAGTTGTCCCTGTCAGCTCCTCCGTCCTGCACTCCTGACAAGGGGAAACCACGTTGGAAAATAATCCCCATGAACTTTCTCGACCAATGCAAGGATCGAACACGCGACCTCTAGACTAGCGAGCTAAAGTCTTACCCACTTAGCCACCGTGACTCCCTGATATTAAAGAGCCCCATATTTGCTGTATTATAACGGTCAACTATGATAGATCTGATAACTATATTCTATGCATGGTCTATATATGAATGCATTAATAATGCTGCCCCAGACTAGGATGGCCTAGTGGTCTAGAGTGTCTAGAAGAAGAAGAATGTCCCAGACTGATCTCATAAAACGTCAATATTCGTACACGATCGACGAATAAAGAGATCCTAAAATTGCCTGTATGAAACCTAGTTAAAGATACATTATGGGAGATAAGATAAGGAGCTGGCAGTTCTCACTATAAGCGTGGTAAAAGCGTGGTGGAAACGCCAGATATCGCGCTGTGGTCTCCATGGTCGCGAATGATCGCCGAGTCACGGCGTTTGTTTTGAGCATGTTCAAAGCAAACGCCAAGGTTCTGCGATCTGGCCTGGGAAGTTTGTAAATTTTTGGGACAATATCTCGCGCTGTGTTCACGTTTGCCGGCGACCGTGTGTATTTTATGGTCGCCGTACGGTCGCAGCAGCGCAGTCAGGACGCCACCCCAGTCTGACGGGGGCATTAGAGCACGCCTCAGCTTGGAATAGGTGCTATATAGATATCTTATTACTATTACTATATTGCGTCAAAAACTCGACAGTAAATTCACGGAATTTATATAGAGAATTATAAAATATTATTCTCCGTGGACGCTGATGACTAGCCCCTGGATCCATTCACTTGAATTGTTGTTTGTGGTGTGTTTGTATATTGTGTCCTGTCCGTAGGTTTGTCTTGTGTAATTGGTTGTGTGTGGTGTGGTCCCCCTGCACTTACTATGCGATAACATCATGAAACAGTTTGTTCGATAACTTTATATGTCCAACTGCATTAATTTATTGTTGGTGCGATTGCTTTCGTGATGTACGGAACTAGACTTTTTGTATATGTTTATCTGGACCAATTTGTTGATGGTGCGATAAAGGGACTATGGATGTTATTACCAAGCTACATTGGGAAAACAGTCATAATGCAACAAATTCGGCTAACGCAGTCAAGGTATCAATTAAATGTTTATTGTAAAAAATTTGATAGGATTTGGGAGACGAATTTGTATTTCATTTCAACATATATATTTCATTTTATTTCTTTTTTTACCAGCAGGTCAGGGCTGTTGTAAGCCATATTGACTGGTGAACCATGGGAAGTGGCGCTAGCACCGTTTCGCCACCCTCCTCCCCGGAACCTGACATTCCCTCCCCACCAAATAAAGCTTTCGCCGGCAGTAACAAGAAAGAAAAAGACAGTAATGAATTTGCAGGTAAAATTTAAAATTTAAAGGCTTCAACTGTACATGGTATTCCATGGTTGTGCGCTATGGTTATCATATTTTTTATTATCATCATCATACAATAATGGTAAAGACCTTTATCTACAGGTCGGGTGTTCGATCCCTGCATTGGCCGAGAAAGTTCATCCAGATTTTCCGGCGTGATTCACCTTGTCAGTGATGCAGGACGGATGGCCTGACAAGAACAGTTGTCTAGTCGTTCGGATGGGACGCAAAACCGAGGTCCCTTGTACACATTGGTGTGCACATAAAAGATCCCTTGACAGATGGAATTCGATATAAGAGTAGGCCGTAGTGTCGCTGTCCGAGGAAAATTTCCCTCACAGCAGGCTGTATGGCGTATGCCTGTCTTCATTAGCCCATTTCGGAGCAGAACAGTAGGACGTTAAACCCAAGCTCATTTTATTTCATATATCTACTGTGTTCAAATGAACTACTCTTGTGGACATCTCTTATAAATTTTCTGAACTCATATTCTATATTTGATAAATACGGTTATTATTAAACAGAGCCAGTAAAATATATTTGCATTCTTACATAAAATATACAGGTCACAATTCTATAGAATACAATTACTGCTTGTTACTGAGCGACGTTTCCAATAGGCTTCTCTTGTCATTATCAAGTAATGACGAAGCCGAGTATATTCCAGTTCAATTACTAAATGCAATTGAAACAATTTAACATAAAATGTCGTACCCTGTCTACTCATTCAACTATACTCTCACATTTGTTAGAAATTAAATATTTTATAATTTATATATTTCTGATTTTATCTTAAGGAAATTTTCCCGTCTCTCAAATTCAATGTAAAACTGGTATTTTTGACTAATCGATTAAAACTTTAGTTTCAAGAAATAATCGCACCAGATAACAAACAGGGTATCCCAATCGGTGAATAGTTTTTGACTAATTTAAAGTCTCGATGCGCCACTTCGCGCTATAGGAGACCATTGAAAACTATAATATTGTGAAGGATGAATCTCTAAAAGGAATATTAGTCTAAAAATGGTTCAATTCCGTTCAGAATTTATAAAGATATATGAAATTGAAATTTGATAAATCTATGCTCCTCGCTATGTAATAAGCCAGTCACCATTTTGTTTTCCATGAAGGTTTAATGATAGGTCTGTTTTAATCCGATTGAAATCAAGCCGGAACATTATCTAGTGTGGTATTTTGATTTGTTTTCTTAATTAAAGATATATTATGGGAGATTAGATAAAGGGGTGGCAGTTCTCAGTATAAAAGTCAAAAACTAGATAATGTAAAGACAATTTGCTGAAAATTTCAGTCAAATTGATCCACTCTGAACCGAGAATTTAGCGATTGAATTTTTGGTCTAGCCTCGATCATCATTACTAAAGTCGGTACGATAAAAAACATAGTCTCGGTTATCCATTACATGAATGAAAGATGAGCAGCAAATCGAATCCTAATCCAGTAAATATCACAGGCTAGCGCTGACATCGAGAGTTGATTATGGTCTGGATAAGTGAATTAATGTCTAATTAATAATTTAGAAAACATTTCAAGGCTTAAGAAAGACCTGCAATAGGCAGATTTAGCTCTTGCATAATGTATGTTTAAATGTTAAATAATTATTCTGAATAGATATTAGCGTCGATTAGACCGTGGGAAATGTGATTTTAGCGAAAAATGCAAATGGCTAAACGTTACTTTAATACACTTTTATTTTTCAGGAAATAATCCCAATAACCGAGTTGTCACAGATAAAAAACAAGAAATTTCAGATAAAGGATGTTTTGTACGGACGAATCAAGTTGCTCCGATTGTCATCAAGAATTGTCGAGAAGAGTTTCAACATATTAGTGAATTTAAAGAACCGATTGTAATGGGACGAGTTGCTGATAATGCATTAGAACACGCTTTAATTAGAGTAAGTCGACAGTTGAGATATATTCTTTGGCAGCCGCGGTGGCTCAGTGAGTAAGACGTTAGCTCGCTAACCTGTTCGATCCAAATTTTGGGCGAGAAAGTTCATCGGGATTTTCCGGCGAGGTTCCCCCTTGTCAGTGGTGTAGGACAGATGGCCTGGCAAAGGATAACGTATAGTTTCGGATGGGACGGAAAACCGAGCTCCCGTGTATACATTGGCGTGCACTTAAATGACCCCTTTGCAGTTGGAATTCGTAGCGCCGCTGTTCGGGCACAATTCCCCACATAGCCCAGTTGGAGTAGAACAGTAGGACTTAAACCCTATTTCAATTCATTTCATTTTGTATCGAATATAGCACTGTTTTCCTTATAATGCACAGCAATTTCAAATGTTTTAAAGAAAGAAATTATGAACGCTTTTTTGCAAATTTGTCCGAACATTCGGGTTGATAAGGAAAATCTGGACAAATCAGACACTTACGCTGACGGGTGGCGGTTAGTGGTTTCTTTTATCTTTAAAGGGACAATAACACTCTTGCTGGCTTGAAAGCTCCAGAAAATAAATAATATCTCTATCTAAGTACTAGATATTTAAGTGTCCTACCTGTTGTGTAAATTATCCATTACATCCTATTTTACTTGTCCAGATGGTTCGAAAATATTTTTAAATCGAAGTTTCATTTGAAAAGGTTTACGTTAGACGTTTCAAACCATTATGTTGAATTTTTCAAAATGTTTAAATAAGGTGTGTTAAGATGAAATTTGTATCATCAATTAATTGAAATATTCTAAAATAGTACAATTTGTTGACCAGGATAAAGATTGGGACATATTATTCAGTTACAACAAGAGTGGTATTGAGCCTTTAAGATCTATTTTAAAACACGTGCTTTGGCGTTTACGCTGTACGTTTTCTGGCATAGTTTCTAGTCCAACCAACGGTGCCAACAGGGCTAAAATTCCGCCAATAATGTTGTGTAAGAAAAGAATTGAGCCAATTATTCATTAAGCCCCTTTTTTTATTTTCAGGGAAAATATTTCTTAGTTAAAGATATTGTTGAGAAGAACGATAAACTGAAGTCATATGAAAAACAACACGCTCCTAACTTCCACCGTGCTAAAGGTTTTCCTGCATATGCAACTGGACAACCAACACAAAATGGCGTCATATCTATCGTCAGCACCATTCTTAATGAAGGTATTAAGGTGAGTGAAACGAAACCGATCAGTCTTCTTGAAGCGTCTAGATGACCGAGTACTGTAGTAATGCCGGACTTCTTTGTTGTGCGTCTTCGTGATCGTAAATATAACTGTACATGTTTAGTCATTTATATATCTGTTTGCTTTCGATGATCCGCGTTCTCAATAAAGTATAGATGATGACTGTTCTGGAAATCTGGGTGAGCTCTAATGAATTCCGCTCAACACCCTCTTTTATAATCCCCTAGTTTCTTAACGTCATAGACTTGGCGTTAATTTCCTTCCCAAATATAAAATAAACATCCCCATACCCTAAAGACCGGGGAGGAGAACATTACCTTATTTGGTCTACCAAACACATGTCATAAACAAGATAGTATTTGATGGATATTTTGACAATGGAAAGGATAAAACCAACGGTTTTTTTTTTTACCAAATTATCACTATTTTTATATACAAACACACCAGTCAATTTCATTTGAGTGCGTGTGATATGACTCTATACAAAGTGAAACCTAATTTTACTACAGTACGTCTGACGGGAACGAGATAAAATCAATTATCTGACGGATAAAGATTATTGCCTCTAGTGGTACAGGTGCTAAAAACCTGTAGCCTAAAAACCTGTAGCCTAAACGTCGTGCGGATTTACTGATAATAGTCTGGAGGCTCAGTGCGCGGGAGTGTCCATCAAATGGGCATACATCAAAGATCCAACGTAGAAGACGTAATGATAATGGTAATCAGTCCTGCGTTGGGGCCATTGGTGCAGGAAGGGGGTCCTGACAAGGACAACAGTATCTAGTCATTCGGATGGCACGGAAAACCGAAGCTCCACGTGTACACATAAAAGGTCACGTAAAAGAACCATTAAATTCGAAATAAGAGTAGGTTGCAGCACACTGCATGGCCCATGTCCGTATTCATTAGCCCAGACGGTGCAGAAAACTAGGACGTTAAACCCCATTTCATTTCATTTACAATTTCAGGAACTGTTTTTATTCAATCTACGTGAAGAACCGGTATTATTTATCAACATAGAAGATGATTATATTCCGTATTCTATCAGAAATCAGGATAAATTAGGAGAACTTGTCTGTACTGGTAAATGTGCCAAAGATGCCAACGAAGCAGAAGGTAGAATCAGAAAAGAGGTGAGACAAAATGAAAATACAGTTAAATTAAAATCTGGCCCCGAGTTAACAAAGCATTCTCAGACTTAAAGGAGCTAAGTCACTAATATTTGAAATTGACACAAATGGGTCGCAACGCATATACTAATGTAATATGAATGTATATAAACTGATTTACATTCAATCGTTTCCGTTTATACCCTAATTTCAAATCAGTTATGTTCGGCGAAATACGCCAGAGGTCTCAATCGAATGGCAATCTTTAGATTTGACTTAGCTATGACGTATTGTGTTTTACCAGGTATTTGATTTAGCTATGATGAAGGATGAGATGAAGTTTTATTTTTACGATGATTTGGAGAATCTGAAAGATGAACCCCACATGTTGCCTGTCTTGTTTGAGGATCAGCTTCAAGTCGCTGAAGAAGTTTATGAACGTCAAGCTTTCCTTAATCCTGCTCTCAAGTAAGTTTTGCTATTCTTTCCGTGGCTATGCTAATCCATCTCGCAAGTAAGATTTGCTATTCTCTTCCTGGCTGTCATAATCCAGCTCCCAAGCAAGTTTTGCTATTCTCTTCGATGCTATGCTGGCCGGGCTAATCGTGGCTATGCGGGGCTAATCAAGCTCTCAAGCAGGCCCGTAGCCAGCTTGCTGGCGCAGGAGGGGCAGCCCCGGCGGTAGGGGGTGGGGGGGGAGGTGTCTCTCTTGCCGGGAGTAATGGGGTCTCCCCCCGGAAAATTTTGAAAATTGAGTAGCTGTAAACGAGTTTCTAAGCATAGAAATCGACAATTATATGTTCTAAGAACGAACTATTCTGAGTGTTTTTCAAGAAATATATTCAAATCATACATAGGTAATTTATAAATATGGTCGACAACTTTTTGTCAGGGGGGTAAGATTATTTCCAGGGGGGGCTTCGCCTCCCAGCCCCCCCCCCCCTTGGCTACGGGCCTGCTCTCAAGTAAGTTTTGCTGTTCTCTTCGTTGCTATGCGGGGCTAATCCAACTCTCAAGTAAGTTTTGCCATTCTCTTCGTGGCTATGCGGGACTGAACAGTGAGGTGTGTCTATGCCTATTTGTTCGGATGGGATTTAAAACCACGGCCAGGTTTACAAGCTGATAGTGCGCGTAATCGATCCTTGACAGTGAATTCGTAAAAGACTGTAACGTCATTATTCGGACAGAATTCAAATTCATTTAAATTAGCATGAATTATGGTATGTATTTCATCTTCCAACCGTGAACTCACTGGCGTGTAGGTAAAAGATTCACTGGAGGGGGGGGGGCGGTGTTGGATGGCCACATGGTTAGCACGTGCGCGCTGTATCATAAGGCCTGTCATTGAGTCAACTTGCGCGGTGTCTAATCCCCGGTTGTACGTGGCAAGGAGTAGGTTCGCCTGTCCAACCTCGTGGGTTTTCTCCGGGTCCTCCGGTTTCCCCCACTGCTAAAGACCCCTACGCGCAAGCGAATTATTGAAATAAAATTGAACCATGTTTTAGTCCCGAAATGACATAGTTTGTGTTGAGAGGACGTTAAACCCTATTTCAAAAAAAAAAGGGTTCATTTTATTTGGGTTTCTGAAGACCAAGCTCGTTAAACCCTGTTGCCGACTTATTATTTATTATCTAGGACCTTAAACCCCATTTTATAATCAGAGATAATGGAGGAGTTAGAAAGACATTTTATTGTATTAATTAATATTATATTAATGTATTTTTTCAGATACAGTAGATTTTGTTTCCCCGTCCACAGAGCCCCAACAGAGGAGGAAGTAGATATTTTCCTTTCATTATTTAGAGTAAGTGTATGTAGGGATTGTAATGGGGTTTAACTTCCACTCGACACAAAGTAGTTCATGTCGGGACTATCATATGGTTCAATTTTTTTCAATAGTTCGTTTGATAAACTGCACGCAGCGATCCATCTACGTCATACGTCATTATGATCACTGCCCCAGTTAGCCGCCATTTAAAACGCCCACGTGATAATTTTGGGGCGGGACATATCGACCGGACTACAGCTTTGTGTACACAACAGAGTAAAGATAACCCGAGCACGCACGTGTTTTATGTAAACACATGTATTTAGCAAAATGTCAACTTCTGCCAATCCGGTAAAAGCGATATATAATATGTACTAGTGGGTAGGCCTAATATTGCAATACATTCTTTGCCATTGTAAACTGTCTTTAGCGTTTCAATCTGTTTATCTTTCAAAACAAGGTTAGATACTCCTAAAGTTGTCTTCGCAAACAAAACCGCCTCTGTGAAATTAACTTTTATGGGCGCCGCCATATTGAATAATTAGAGGACTATTTTGTGATTCGGCTTTGATTAGTTTGACATCTTTCATACACACAGCGGCTAAATAAACATATTTAATTTCATTCAATATGACAATAGAAAAGAAATAAATACTTCTAAAAATTACTAAAAGCATACTCAGTGTTTTTGACTAAAATCGTCGATGTAGGAATTAAAATGTCGGGTAATTAGCTTAGGGCCTGTTCTCGGGCGGAGCTAGCTGTAGACAGGCTGCCTAAGTTTGGGATGTTCGTTTGCGTGTCAACAGGGTTCCCCCACCCCACCCCCCGACGACTTGTATTTACGCGAGCCATTGTTCTGGTTTTATGACGAAACGTAATAAAGAAATGAAGAGCCCAGGGGAAGAATGATCTAAGTCATATTTTTGTCTTTTCGCATAAAAGGCAAAACATACTTTTGGACGAGAATGTTTAATTACAACTTCAAAATGATGTTTAATACGAATCATATTTACCAGTACAACAACTGACTTCCACTTTTCAGCCAAATTAAGGTCAAATAAAAGGTAAAATGGACTTGCATTTGTCCGGGATGCCATTTCAGAAGGGCCTTGGTTCGATGTGACTCCAGTCGTTTTACCTGAAAATGATTGTTCCACAGAAAGCTTATACAATTTGCTACTAGATAGCGCCATTAACTGGGGTTCGTTGAAAAATTGACTTAGATCGTTCTTCCCCGGGGCCTCTTCAAATGATTTTAATTAGTTTTTCCAGTTTATTTCGATGAATAGTAGGCACTGCCCGAAAAAAATTCTTCTTTCTTGGATTGTATACTAAAGTATGGTGTTCACAAGACGTTCAATTGCTTTGATATTAATTTTTTTCTCCGTTTACAGGAAGAACCCCATTTCTTCGACAAAGATCACAACCCAGCTATGTTGTTTATTTGTAATTCTGGTATGGGACGAGCTACTGTAGGTCTAGCCATGGGATGTCTTATGTTGGCTCATAGAACCTGTTTTCCCGCTGAAGCAAAGTAAGTATTGCCTTATATCCAAAACACTATTTATAACACAAAGACACTTTTTATTTGCATTTAAATATTTGGAACCTTGTTACTTAAATTATGATAATTCTCCTAGATAACATAATTTATTGAAATGAAATGAAATGGGGTTTAACGTCCTACTGTTCTGCTCCACCTGGGCCAATGAAGACGGGCATACGCCATACTGTGTGCTATGAGGGAAATCTTGCCCGGACAGTGGCACTGTGGCCTACTCTTATACCGAATTCCAACTTCCAAGGGATCTTTTACATGCACGCCAATATATACACGCGACCTCGGTATTTTGGCCCATCCGAAGGACTAGACACATGTCCGTCCTGCACCACTGACAATGGGAAACCACGCCGATAAACCTTTTCAGCCAATGCAGCGCCTTACCAACTTTTTTTTTTATTGAGATAGTGACAAAAGCTAATACATTCAGTGTATGCCCGTCTTGATTATCCCGGTTCAAGTGATAATTTTTATACAGTACCTTGTAGTGACTATTCTATCTCGTGCTTATATAAAAAAATACCACATACACTTATACCAATCCCACACTAGGTTCGTCAATAGCGTTAGTTAAAAGGGATATATTGCTTTTAAACAATACAATCTTGTATCCAAATACACATCAGAATAAAATATAACTAGAGCATAGGATTACTCACATTATTACACATACATTATGGGAGATTAGATAAAGTGCTGGCAGTTCTCACTATAATAGTTAAAGACTAGATAATTGATCCACTCTGAACTGCAATTTTAGCGATTGAATTTTTCGTCCTAGCCGCGACCATCATTACTAAAGTACTTACGATAAAAACATAGTCTGGATTATCCATTTCATGATTAAATCAAGAATGAAAGGGGAGCAGCAAATGGTATCCTTGTCCAGTAAACATTTCAGGCTAGCGTTGACATTGAGGCTTGATTATGGTCTTGATAAGTTAATTAATGTCTAATTAATAATTTAGAAAACATTTCAGGCCTAAAGAAAGACCTGCAATAGACAGAATTAGATCTTGCATAATGTTTAAAATAAATAGTTTCATAGTGTGATATTATATTTTTAGTGAAGTTCCGTGCCATATTGATGAAAATAATCCTAACTTTGAACGTGGTGAATATTTATCTGTACAGAAACTTGTCAAATTTATACCTGATGGTCTAGCTGTTAAAAGACAGGTGAGAATAATGTTACATTAATCATTGTTATCTCCCTTGGTTAGGAGAGAATGTTGGTACATTTATCTTGGTTATTTCCATTGATGCTACATTAATCATTGTTATTTCCCTTGGTTAGTTAAGAATGATGGTACATTAAACTATGTTACCTCCCTTGGTTAGGTGAGAATAAACTTTTTTATCTCCCTTGATGTTACATTAATCATTGTTACCTCCTTGGTTAGGTGAGAATGATGGAACATTAAATTTTGTTATCGCCCTTGATGTTATATTAATCATTGTTATTTCCCTTAGTTAGGTGAGATAATGGTACATTAAACTTTGTTAACTCCCTTAATGTTACATTAATCATTGTTATTTCCCTTGGTTCGTTAAGAATGATGTTACATGCATCATTCTTACCTCCCTTAGTGGGGAAATTACCGGTATTTCTTTTTTAGCTTTTAGTGGACATTTTAATCCCGCTGTATCCCTCTGTTGATCAGAAAAAATTTGTAGGTTATCGAGTGTCAATTAAGATGACAGATACTCCACTTTGCCCCCACTCCCAGGCGAAATACATTGTTATGTGGGGTTGGGGTGGATGTCCGAATAGTTAGCACGTGCGCGCTGTATCATAAGGTCTGTCATTGAGTCAACTTGCGTGGTTTTGATTCCCCGATTGTACGTTGCAAGGAGTATGGTCGCTTGTCCAACCTGGTGGGTTTTCTCCGGGTCCTCCGGTTTCCTCCCACTACTAAAGATCTCGACGCGCTAGCGAATTATTGAAATAAAATTGAACCGCCTGTTAGTCCCAAAATGACTTAGTTTGTGTCGAGTGAACGTTAAACCCCATTTCTCTCTCTCTCTCTCTAATTGTTATGTCTAGCACATCATCGAGATTATTTAACTTTATTCTACAGGTTGACGTGATGATAGATCACTGTGGTGAACTGTATAATTTAAGAACCAGTATCCTCGAACAGAAGAAGAAAATGGAAGGGATTCATTCTGATTTTATTATCGAGGTAGGTATCCTCATCCTGTAGAATCTTCTGTCGAACTCAGCTTAAACCAGGATTCCTACATAGCCTTCGGTGAATTTCTGTATGTTCGGCTTTCTTTTATTATAGTCCCACGGAACTACCCGAACCCCAGTTCTACGCCCTTTTTAAGGTAATGGCAACGTCAAGTGTTTCGTCAGCGTCCCACTGTACTTTTTGTTTTGATTGTTTTCTAACCAGTTTTAAAATTTGTAGACTACCGGGATTGTTTAGATTCCCCGAAAGTACGTGAAAAGGAGTAGGGTCGTCTGTCCAACCCCGTTGGTTTTCCCCGGGTTCTCCGGTTTCCCCCCACTGCTAAAGGCCCCTACGAGCAAGCGAATTATTGAGATAAAATTGAAGCATGTGTTAGTCCCGAAATGAACTAGTTTGTGTCGAGTGGACGTTAAACCCATTTCTCTCTCCCTCTCTCTCCCCCTCTCTCTCTTTCACTATCTGGATTGAATTACAGTGTCTAGTTGTTCGGGGAGGATGAAAACCTGAGATCCTGTACGCAAAAGAACCCTTGACAGATGGAATTCAAAATAAAAGTAGACAACAGCGCAGCTGAACGGGCAAAATTTCTTGCATAGCACATTGTATGAAGTATGCCCGTCGGTGCTGAAATGTAGGACATATAACTCCATTTCGTTTTATTTCTACGAATTAAACCACCAATCTTCTAAATAATGGCGTGTGTTGTTTTTTACAGGGAAGAAGTGCTAAAGAATATTACAGAAGAAAGTGTATTTATTATCTGGAGCGATACATTTTCTTAATCTGTTTCAACGCCTATCTCAGAGAACAGTTCCCCATGAAGCTCTCCGTCAGATACACAAAATGGATGCAGAGACATCCGGTGTTGACACAGCTTAGTTGTTTTATGGATTTCGTTGAGAAAAAGACACCGGCTAATCTGGTGACGACAGGTTGTCGATATTTGGTGGCGGATGAATATATTGGTTTAGATGTTCTTAGTTCCCAGTTTGAGGTGAAGGTTTCTAATTTCCGTCGTCTTGTTGGTTTACCTGTGTATGGAATGGCTCAACCGAACAGAGACGTAAGTCTAATATTTGTACATCTATTAAAGATGCATTATGTAAGATTTACAGGCCTGTAGCTAGGTGGGGTGAGGTGGAGGCAAAGGGGGCAGTCTAACCAATGTGACTCGGTTTTATAGGGCGCCCATACTGATATGGGCATGTTGGTCGTTGACTTCGTATTGCGTCCAGTAGAAAGGGCGCGGTTCGGTACCCAGGGATGGCAGCTGCCCCTTGCCCCCCTAATCCCCCCAAGGGTAGCTACGGGTCTGATTTAGATAAAGAGTTTGACGGTCTTGCTTTAATAGTTCAAAAATAAAGATAAATGAATATCTTGAATATTTCAGTCAATTTAATTTATTCTGAGCGAAATTTTGAATGTTTGAAGTTTTGACAAGAAATAGAATAGTCTCCACTGATAAGGGACAGTGTATGGGATATTGTGGAAATCATTTATTATAAATTAATTAATTTAAAACCGTTTACTTACTACACTCCGGTAACCATCTAATATATTATCCAAACGGTTTACTTACTACATTTACTAATTACACTGGTATCGTAATATACCGTCTAATCTATATTAATATTTGTAACTGTCCATTGTCTGTTCATGGTTGGCGGCGAGGCTACTGCAGTCCCAGGGTTGCAATTTGGTGTATAGGGGTAGCTCGGACCGTGAGTAACATAGAGTGGGTAGCCTTGCCCCCCCCCCTCTAGATTTCAGAGTTACACTACTTTCAACCCGTGCAGCTCCGGGTCATCCGCTAGTATAAGTTTTAAACCATGTTTAAACCTACATAACCAGTGTATTATCGTTTAATATGACATAATTTAAATCATTTACTAACTACACCTCCTGTGTATTACCGTCTAATATGACGTAATTTAAACCATAATAACTACACCTCCTATGATTATCGTTTTAAAAATTTGAAAACTTTTGCAGGGTTTAGCATGTGTTGTCAACCATTTGTTAAAGAAGAAACAAGGCTATAAGAAAGTTGTGGTCATTAATCTACGTAATGATCAGGTTATTGAGAATGATGGTCAGACCTATTCTATACATGATCCCACACAACTAGGAGAACCTATACCCGTTATTGGAGCTTCACGTAGAGAACTAGAGGTATGTTATTAATAACTTCCGGTTGTCTTCCTTCCTACATATAGTAGGGTTTCACGTAGAGAACTATAGACTGGTTCGCATTAACTTCCGGTTGTCTACCTGTTACAGGACCTTCACCTAAGGTTGGGATATCCTTAACTTCCGGTTAGTATCCGTGAACATTCATTGTTACGCGGGATTATCAAACCACACGAACACAAGAATATACATGTAATATGAGATAGTTAATTTGTTTAATTTATCAAAACAAAAATTCTTTGGAAAATAAAAACTTTTTTGTGCACCAAAATTGATCTATATTACTCTTATGAAATTTTAATAACTACTTAACTTGTAAGTTTTCTATCTGATTAAAATACAGATCTATATTTCGTTTCGTTTTTTTATACTTTCGATGGCCTACACTACATGAAGATCTGACCGGTTGTAGTAAAAGGTCGCGTCAGAGGTCGCACGAATGGCTTTTTACCCTATGAAGTCAGACATTAATCAATCAGCATTGACGTTTCTAGTGGTTTACTCCCAGTTCCGTGCATCGCACGCCAAGAAGTCGCCGTAACAGATGGTTTCATTGGCTAATCCGTCACGCCATTCAGAACGCAGTTTATATAACAACTCTTCCAGATCCTAATGTAGTACAGACGAAAGTTTGAACTATAAAAAAAACGAAACGAAATAGGATCTGTGTTTAAATCGGATTGGTAAGTTTTTATTCTTGTATATTTATCGATTTTAGCACAAGGAAACTTTATTAAAAGAGGAAATTCTAGGAAAGAAGATCATCAAAATATTCCAAGAAATAACAGATGCACCAATCACTAAAGAGTTTACAAGTGTGATGACGTTACAAGATTTGAGTGAACAGCAACAGAAGGAAACACCGGATATGTTGTACTATAGAATTCCCATGGAATACGACCATTCGCCGCTTGTCAAGGTAATATTATTAATTGTCTTTCAAAAGTTTAAATGGAATAAAAGCCACAACAAATCATATGGTCAATATATATTTAATAAAAGATAAGTGTTCTATTTAGCTTAAACAGTAGCCATACAAATGTTATGCCAGTCAAATAGTTCAAAAAGATCACTCACAAACAGTAGTAGCCATACAATTGTTATGCCAATCAAGTAGTTAAAAAAGATCACTCACAAACAGTAGCCATACAAACACAATGTACAATTTTATGGATCCACAATTACTGAGTTTAATACAAAGCAACGTTTCGACGAGGATACTCTCATCTTTATCAAGCAAATGAAATGAAATGAAATGGGGTTTAACGTCCTACTGTTCTGCTCCTATACTGAGCTTATGAAGACGGGCATACGACATACAGTGTGCTATGAGGGAAATTTTGCCCGGGCAGCGACGCTAAGGCCTACTCTTATATCGAATTCCAACTGCCAAAGGATTTTTTACGTGCACGCCAATATGTACACGCGACCTCGGTTTTTCGTCTCATCCGAAGGACTAGACAGCTGTCCTTGTCAGGCCCTCCGTATCAAGCAAATGATACGGGTATGTGAATAGTTGGCATCATTTGCTTGATAAAGATGAGAGTATTCTCGACTAAACGTCGCTTAGTATCAAACTCAGTGTAATTGTGTATCCATAAAATTGTACCTTGTGTTAATACGTTCAATTACTAAATGCCAATCAAAGAAGTAGCCATACAATTGTTAAGCGCACAAGTAGTTACAGGGAATCGCTTACAACCATTGTTGAGATTTTTATTGTTTTCATGCATTTACACACAACGAAATCTGTGTTGTAAAAGCAAAAATCAATATTTTTTGAATTAATCTATTGTCGCTGTTACATTATTTTTATCACGATGTATTTGAATTGTTTGTTTACGACAGGAAGTAGATGATATTCAAGGTTGTATTACCAGCCATTTTAAAGATCCCGATCTGTGGACCCAGAACACCATGGCCTTCGTTTTCTGTTGTCGTACTGGTAAAAGTAGAACAACCTTTGCTCTGGCTATTGCAGGTCTCATGTACCATCATATGCGAGTAAGTATAATACATCGTGGATTATCCTTAGTTTTAATAGAAAACACGTACGACGGTATAATAGGGCCCAGGGACCCAGCATGACATCTTCACCGCCATCTTAGAATTGTGACGTCATATCATAAATCGTTGCGCAATTGTCCAAAGAATAAGAATGCCAAGTTTCATGTCCATCTGGGTTTTCCTTTTGAAAAAGGTCGCCCCCAATAAAAAAATAAAGCTTGAGGACCAGTTCCTGCTCCTATAGATAAATATAATTTGAACTTAATACTGCCGGGAATTTACATGTTTCTTTAATCATATATTGTCACTAAATACTCTTTATTGTAGCGATTATTGTTGTCTTTTGACATCACATTACCTTACTTTGAGTATGACGTAATGCCCCTGTTATTATTTAAATATGATTTTGTGTATGTCGTAATAACCCTGGGCGGAGTGGACCCAGAGTTGTCGAACGTGGTGCGAAGGGCCTCGAATTGTGAAAAAATTGTATTCAAGATACATTAAACCATCTTTACATCCACTGAAAAATAAAAATATATTGACCTAAATCCTAGACGCTACTTTTGTTTTCTCGTCATATCAAGTTTTCTCCACCGCAAAAGAGTTCCAAGGAAATCGGTTAGCGCGAGGTCCCAGAGCTACCTAGCCTAGCCCTGGTAATAATTATTATTATTTAAGTATGACTTTGACGTCATTATCAGACTGACGTTATATTATGTTATATTTGTTTATCTATTCAGGCTTTCCCGTATGGTTCCCAACCAGGTGAGCAGGAACGTGTATCATGTCCCAATGCTGGGTATACCAAGGGTGATTATATTGTAAGTACTCCTCACAGGGTATCGTTTGATTAATCCCGACCCCACTCAAACAATTCCTGTCTTAAATTCTAAATATGCAAGCTGATTGAAATACAGATCTATATTTCGTTTCGTTTTTTTTTATACTTTCGATGGCCTACACTACATGAAGATCTGACAAGTTATAGCGATAGGTCACGTCAGGGGTCAAAAGACCGACTTATGACCCTATGACGTCAGACATTTGTTTAACCAATCAGCATTGATGTTACTACTGGATTACCCACAGTTCCGTGAAAAACATCCCTAAAGCTCGCCGTAACAGACCGTTTCATTGGCTTATCCCCGACACCATTCAGAACACGAGTTAAATAAATAACAACTCTTCCAGATCAAAGTGTAGCAAAGACAAGTAAAACGAAATTTTGAACTATAAAAACGAAACGAAATAGGATCTGTGTTTTAACCAGATTGTCTAAATATGTTAACATATGTCAGTGGTTTTCAACTTTTTGTGCCAGCGGCACACCTTGGAACACATGAAAAAATAGCGGCACACCTGGCTAAATATATGTGACAATTATTTTGATTTTGCAAAATGAAAACATGGCAAGAATAAACTTACCAGCATGAACTTACCAGCAGACACCAGTGAATGTTCAATTGAGATCACGTGATTTTTCACATTTTATTACTGTGTCCTTCAAAATGTCGCGGCACACTTAGGAAGATCTCGCGTCACACTGGTTGAGAATCACTGACCTAGAGCGTGGAGTTGCTAGGGTGAACAAGATTTCAGAATTAAAACCACCTTTATGAACTGTAAGTGGTCAACTTGAATGTGTTAATAATAATTGTTTTAAGCATATTTCAGAAACCATCAGTTGTTGTAAAATTCTGGATTTAGATGTCTAGACAAAATAGAAATTTTGTTAGTAATTTAACCAGTTTGGTCGAAAATCGAAACAATAAAATCATATGTTTGGGTGGTTTGTTTTTAGATTGTATTGAAGTTGGTTCGTATGTTGCCAGCTGGACAGCAAGTAAAACGAGAAGTAGATCTGATTCTTGACAGAATCTTTGAGACGATGAGTCCCATGCATTTTCACCTGAGAGAAGTTATCTTCTTTACTTATAATAAGGTAAACAATACTATACTTATAATAAGGTAAACAATACTTTACTTATAATAAGGTAAACAATACTTTACTTATAATAAGGTAACAATACTTGACTCATATTTATTATTCACTATAACTCGCTGTTAACTTTTATCAAATATTACATAGTTTCTACTTCTGAATCCTAAATATTATACTGAATAATCAAGGAGATGGTAGCTTAGGCAGAGTATTCTCCCTCTTTCTAGAACACGACTTCTTCTCATTCTTCTTCTTGATCTTCCTTATGTTTTAGGAGCCACGGTGGGTAAGACGCTCACTCGTTAGTCCGAAGGTCGCGTATTCGGTCCCTGTCGGTAATTTTTGGCGTTGTTTCCCCTTGTCAGTGGTGCAGACGGAGGGCCTGGCAAGGACAGCTGAGCTGTCCAGTCGTTCGGATGGGACGAAAAACCGAGGTTCCGTGTATACATTGGCGTGCACGTAAAAGGTCCCTTGGCAGTTGGTATTGGATATAAGAGTAGGTTATAGTGCCGCTGCCCCGGCAAAATTTCCCTCATAGCACACTGTATGGCGTATGCCCGCCTTCATTAGCCCAGTATAAGAGCAGAACAGTAGGACGTTAAACCCTATTTCATTTCATTTCATTTATTTCTTTATATTTAGTAACCGAACTTGTTGGAATTTGCACTCTGCAGATTACCTCCTACTAAAATATGAATAATTAATGGACCGATAAATCAATTATGAATTATTTTTATTTGTAGATAAAGAATGCAACAAGTGAACAACAGAGATTAATATTAAAGAGAACTAGTTTAGATATGTTAGAGAGATATATCTTCCTTATATTATATAATTGTTATCTACGATCAGAGAAATGTACCAACTGGAGAAGACCATTTAGCAAATGGATGACAGAGGTATGTTGGTTAGACAGTTGGGGATGACAATCTGATTCGTTTTTTTATAGTTAAAAATTTCGTTTTACTTGTCTTCACTAATCTAGGATCTTGAAAAGTTTTTATATTAAAAGTGAGGGATAAGCCAATGAAACGGTCTGTTACGGCGACTTCTTGGCGTACCATGCACGGAACTGTAGGTAAACCACTAGCAATGTCAACATTGATTAATCAATGTCTGACGTCATAGGGTTAAAAGCCGCTCGTGTGAACGTTCAAGTACAACTTGTCAGATCTTTATGTAGTGTAGGCCATCAAAAGTATAAAAAGACGAATCGAAATATAGATCTTTATTTTAATCAGATTGTTGGGGAAGGGACAAACCGACCTGGTCCACTTACCAGGAGGTTCAGCTGTTCGATCCAGGCTTTTGGCATAGAAAGTACCTCAATTGAGGATTGGACAAAATGAACTGGCCCCTTACCCGAGAGGCCAGTTTTTCAATCCAGGTGTTGGCCAAGAAAGTACCCATGGGTGTTTTAGCGTCCTTTCCACTTGACGGTGATAGCGGACAAAGGGCCTGGCAAGGAACAACGTCTAGTCGTTTGGATGGAACGACAAAACGAGGTCTCGTGTTCACCTTGGTGTGGACGTAAAAGTACCTATAACAGTTTAAATTTGATGAAGAGTAGGCTGGAAACCCACTGTTGAGACATGGAGCATGGTCTAGTCGTTGGGATGGGACGAAAAGCCGAGGTCCCGTTTTTACTTTGGCGTGGTTGACGGAAAAGTCAGTGTCCGGAACAAATTTCGCTTATAGAACAATACTTGGCATATGCCTGTCTTCTTCAGGACGGTTAAGCCCCGTTTCATTTTATTTCTTGTCAACAGCCAATGATCAACATATACATAAAATAACAATCTGATTAAAATGCAAATCGTATTTCGTTTCGTTTTCTTATAGTTAAAAATTTCGTTTTACTTGTCTGCACAACACTAGGATCTGGAACAGTTGTTATATAACAGGCGTTCTAGGTGATGTGAGGAATTAGCCAGTGAAACGGTCTGCTACGGCGAGTTTTTGGCGTGTTCTGCTCGGAACTGTGTGTAAACCACTAGAAACGTCAACGCTGATTGATTAATCAATCTCTGATGTCATAGTGTCAAATGCCGCTCGTATGACTATGACCCCTGACGCGACCTGCCACAATAACTGATCAGATATTCATGTAGTAGTGGCCATCGAAAGTATAAAAAACGAAACGAAATATAGATCTCTATTTTGATCAAATTGCCTAAAATAACATCAAGTTAAAGATACATTATGGGAGATTAGATAAAGAGCTGACAGTTCTCACTATAATAGTTAAAAACTAGATAAGGTAAAGGGAATTTGCTGAAAATCTCAGTCAAATTGATCCACTCTGAACTGAGATTTTAGCGATTGAGTTTTCGGCCTAGCCTCGATCACCATAACTAAAGTCGGTGCGATAAAAAACATAGTCTCGATAATCCATTTGACAATTAAATCATGAATGGATGTCGAATAGCAAATTGGAACCTAATCCAATAAACATCGCATGCTAGCGATGACATCGAGAGTAGATTATGGTCTGGCTGAGTTAATTAATGTCTAATTAATAATTCAGATAACATTTCAAGCCCAAAGAAAGGCCTGCAATAGGTAGATTTAGCTCTTGCACAATGTATGTTTAATGGTCTTATTTATTTTATTTATACAGGTAGCAGCAAGAGCTGGTGTATACGAACTACTCGATAATCTCGGATTCTATGATTTTGAACCAAACGTCGTGACCTTAAAGACCAGACGTGAAAGATGGAAGATCAGACACACACTCTACCCCTTCTATGGTGAATTCATCTAAATTAAAGGGAGATAACCACTGTTTGACCTGTATCTGCATCACAAGCAATAAGAGAAACACTTTCCGTTCCAATTTCACTTTTATTTTTAATCAATTTTTCAAGAAAGGAGACATTTGTCTGCATACAGAATATGACATTAAATCATGGTATTTGCTTTATAATCGGGATTTTGTGAATTATAAGTCAGAACGGGTAATTCATAGGCTGGATTTTAGACAGTGGAGATATTTGGGTTTTGGACCATCAACAGAAGCTAGGATAACTGAGGGGCTGCATACTTTTTGACAAGCACCTGTAACCACGGCTACATATACCATTCCTTAATTACTTAATACTGTATAACGACGGATCAATAATTATTAGTCTATTTAGCCAGTTATATATAAACAAACATACATATATTTGTACTTACTATAATATTTATATTTATTTATTTATACGTGTATTTTGTTTCTGGTTATGACGGGTGTATTTTGGGATATCTTATAAAAAGAGGAATGAAATCTCCCCAATGCATAACGTGTGGTTTTAAATACTTTATGTTAAAAACACCCCAATAAAACCTAGCAGTTGAATGATTGGTTTAGTAAGATGAAAGCCTTAATGATACTATAAGGATGTTACGCCAACACTTCCGCGCCGACCTCGGAGAAATCATAGCGGATTGTGACAGCGAGTTTTGTATCTATGGGTCAAGAATATTTAATGTATATGATATGTAAATATATTTATTTATGGTCCCTTCTGATTAAAATACAGATCTATATTTCGTTTCGTTTTTTTATACTTTCGATGGCCGCTATTACATGAAGATCTGACCGGTTGTATTGGAAAGTCGTGTTAGGGGTCTTTCGAGCGGCTTTTGACCCTATGGCGTCAGACATTGATTAATCAATCAGCGTTGACGTTTCTAGTGCACCACACGTCAAGAACTCGCCGTAACAGATCGTTTCATTGGCCAATCCCCCACTTCAACCAGAACGCCGCAAACATAACAACTCTTCCAGATCCTAGTTTAGTAAAGACAAGTAAAACTAAATTTTGAACTATAAAAAACGAAACGAAATAGGATCTATGTTTTAATCAGATTATTTATGGTCTTGATTGAATGTTAGAATTATAATAATTGATGTTGTGTGGGTTTACCTTAATCATTTAGGCACGAATTGCAATTCCAATAGCCTCAAAGCTCCCTAAGTTAATTCCCTGGGGCAAGGACTTATTAACTATTGTATAAGTTTGATAGGAATGTATTATTTTTTTTAATATGGGTCGTGATAAAACGTGCAATATGTCTGTTATAATATATATATTATATTTATTTTTGATGTTGATATTTAATAATATATTAAACTCTTTTATGTAAGTATTGAGTGAGTGTGATAATAAATAATTTTAAATACCTATAATAGGCTATAATCAGAGAGGGACTGCGCCTCGGACCGTCGGACGGTGTCCAAGGGCCCGTTTTTCTGGGAAAAAAAACAAATTGACATATATTTTCCAAAATCCACTGAAAAATATAATGGTCTCAATCCGAAGAGAAATGAATCGTGTGTGGGAAAGGATGAAGAGGGGGTACAAGGGGTGGGGAGGGGGGGAGGAAACTAGTTGATCCGAGGGTCCAGAGCAATCCAGTCCCTCCCTGAATATAATATATTTTCACATATATTACAGTTATGATAGTATGTTGCACAATTATAACCTACTTTAATTGTTACATTAAAAAGAAAAGTAAATACCGGTACGAATGTATAAATCTGTCTATCTCTGTTAGTCTTATATTTAAGTAGTGAATGGGATCTTTTCTGAATGTGACGTCAAAGGTAGTATGACGTTATTGTGAAGTAGCTTGGCGTGATATAATTCCCAGTATGGTGTACTGTTATGACGTTTACCACATGTTATTTGCACCATGACATTCTGTTATTTACAGCATAACGTTCAGTTAATTGCAGTAGGGCATGGCGTTTACCAAGGCTTATTGACAGCATGACGTACTGTTATTCACAGCATGACGTTTTCTTAATAACAGCACGACGTTCTGTTATTCACAGCATGACGTTCTGTTAAATACAGCATGACGTTCTGCTAATAACAGCATGGCGTTCTGTTATAGACAGCATGACGTTCTGTTAATTTCAGCATGACATTATGTTTTTGCCGCCTAACATTTTGTTATTTACATGATGGCGTTATGTTATTCACAGCACGGCCTTATGTTTTTGCAGCATAACGTGACAACGGCGTTGGAACCGTTAAACTTATACCATCGATCGTAACATATCTTTATTGTGTAAATGTATTAATTTAACCGTGAATGTTGTTGTTTTTTTTATATACAATATAAATTGTTTATCTTTATGTAAATAATATTTATTTGTTGACAAAACCAATATTTTAAATAAATTGTTTTCGTGATATCTTAATGTTAAATTTTCATAATAAGCAACAGAGTGAAAGAAATGGAGTTTAATTTCCACTCGACACAACTTCGGTCATTTCGGGACTAACATATGGTTTAATTTTATTTCAATAATTCGCTTGCGCGTAGGGGTCTTTAGCAGTGGGAGGAAACCGGAGGACCGGGAGAAAACCCACGAGGTTGGACAGGCGACCCCACTCCTTGTCATGTACAACCGGGGAATTGAAACCTCGCCAGTTGACTCAATGGCAGACCTAACAACAAATTAAAACAAACTGAAATTCTCAAGTATATTATATCGGATATTCTACAAAGAATAAAGACACACCGTAAACATACCCGTACCCTGTCGTGTACTCAACACTTGTCACTACCGGTATGCGTTTAATATTAAGACTTCAGAGCAGAGGGTCTGTCAAGGCCAGCTGTCTATTCGTTCGGATGTGACGAAAAACCGAGGTTCCGTGTACACATTGTCGTGCACGTAAAAGAACCCTTGACTTTTGGATTTCGATGTAAAAGTAGGTCGTGGCGCCGCTGTCCGGGCAAAGTTTCCTTTTTTGCACACATCATGGCGTAATTCCTTCTTCATTCGCCCAGAAGGAAGTTGAACCCCATTTCATTTCATTTAAATTTTAACTGACTAGTCCGTGAACCACATGAGCTAGTATGTGTCCAGTGGACGTTAAACCCCATCTCTCTCTCTCTCTCTCTCTCTCTCTCTCTCTTAAAAGTAAAGTGTGAAGGAAAAATCAACTCTGTCATAGAAAAATCGTGAATTTTGTTGCCTACAAAGAGTTATCTCCCCTATATAGGAGACCACACGATTTCTGTGTTCAACGTGTGATTTTGTTCCATATTTCACATGGGCGTGTGGTGGCCGATGATTTTGCACGAGTAACACAATCCCGCTAGGGCACAGAAACCCAATATTTATACCGTAACGGGTGGATTTGGTGATCTTTCCGATTATTCGGGGGCTCTATGGAGCATGCTAGATTAGTAGCATATCTGAGCAAAGGTATATTGAACATAGTCAATCGATGTTATTATGTCAGCGCTACCTCAATCTGATTAAAACACAGATCCTATTTCGTTTCGTGATTTATAGTTCAAATTTCATTTTACTTGTCTTTACTACACTAGGATCTGGAAGAGTTGTTCTATAACCCGCGTTCTGAATGATATGAGGGTTTAGCCAATGAAACAGTCTGTTACGTCGAGTTTTTGGCGTGAGGAACTGTGGGTAACCCACTAAAAACATCAACGTTGATTGGCTAATCATATATCTGACGTCAAAAGGTCAAAAGCCGCTTGTATGACCCCCAAACTACAACTGGTCAGATCTTCATGTAGTGTAGGCTATCGAAAGTATAAAAAAACGAAACGAAATATAGATCTGTATTTAAAACAGATTGGTGCTGTCAGATACTCCATCTCATGATTATCAAAGAGTTACATGTATAATATTACAGCTAGGACCATCTTATATCATTTTTAAGTTGACGCAGAGCAGTAGGACGTTTTATTTCATTTCATATAATTTTCAATATATCTGATGACGGTAGGTAATAGGCGAAATGAAATGGGGTTTAAAGGGATAATAACACTCTTGCTGGTTTGACAGCTCCAGAAAATAAAAAAATAGCCTTATTCTAAATACTAGATGTGTTAGTGTCCTACCTGTTGTGTAAATTATCCATTAAATCCTATTTTACTTGTCCAAAGGGTTCAAAAATATTTTTTAATCCAAGTCACATTTGAAAAGCTTTACGTCAGGCTTTTCAAATCATTTAGTTGAATTTTTCCAATTTTTTAAATTAGGTGTGTTAAGATGAAATTTGTATCATCAATTAATTGGAATATTGTAAAATAGTACAATTTGTTGACCAGAATAAAGATTGGAACATATTATTCAGTTACAACAAGAGTGGTATTGAGCCTTTAACGTTCGCCTTTTCTTCGCCAACCGGGATAATGAAGGACACACAGCATGAAGTGTGCTGTGAGAGAAATATGGCCCGGACAACAGGCGATGGCCTAATCATATCATTAGTTTTATTAGCTAGAAATCGCTCAGAACGCGGCTCCGGTTATCTAGACCCCGAGGAGATTACGGGAACAGGGCGACCCCTAGGCCCTCGCCAGGATGGTAGGGTAGCCCCACAATCTGTCGGCCCTACAAACACAAATTATTCGTCCATTCCGGTCAATAGTGATGTTGTTATCTTACCTTGAAAATATGGAATCCTAATATCAAAAATGTAAGACACAGTAAACCATTTTAAAACTAGTACATGTCCGCATGTACTAAATACTCTCGAGCGCGATTTGGAATCAGACGCCTTGATGAAGGAGGCTAAACGTCAGCGTGTAAGTGACATGTTAAACCGTACTTCCTATATGTAGACTGGACTAACAAGACTCGACCGATTGTCATTCAATTTGGACTTCTCGCGTACTTCGACGAACAACACTGATCAGAAATTTCAATACAAATTGTAAATTTGAATGTAAATCAGTTTATATACACTCATATTACATTAATATTATGATTTTTGTTACACATTTCATCCATTTTAAGTTCCAAAGTATACGGATTTAGCTCCTTTAAATAGTTTAAGGTACGAACATCCGGGTAACGACATTAGAATAGATATATTAAGCGACGGTTTCGGTTAATAAGACACATAATAATATATAATACACATGATGCACCTTTAAATGAGATAGACGTACAGTAAGAAATATAGATTTATCAGACGAAACATTGTATGGCTACGAATGTAGGACGTTTCGTTCATTAGACATTTCGGACAAGGACATTTCGTCTTAGGATTTTTCGGCCACTTTATTTTTTAGAAAGAGGACGTTTGTTTTCTTCTAGTCATCGTCCATGCACCAACCATCGGAATGTGCAAGTTTCTGGACGTGGTGTTCTCTTTAAATGCTTTAAAAACATTTTTTTTTATAAAATTGGCCGAAACCTCCGTGGGCCGAAACGTCCTAGATCGAAATGTGCACTGGCCGAAGCGTCCCAGCCGAAATATCCAATACCGAAATGCCCACTGGGAAATGTGCGTCCACCGAGTACTAGGCCACACACACAAACATGGCAAGTAAAACTGTTATGAGGTATATATCACGTGATCTACACTGTTGAGCAGTGTTATCCAAGTTACAATAGCTCCTTATACAGCACGAACGACATTTTGTAAAATGTAATGTCTTTTTACACCCAGCTTTACATTCACTGGAACAACCACGTTTTAATCTAGTCACTTTACCATTAGTTTCGAGTCTCTCAACCTGAAAAACAAACAGAGTTCATTAAATACGCATCGTTAGACCGACACATCGGTTTAAAATGAAATGGGATTTAACGTCCCAATGTTCTGCACCGACTGGGCTAATGAAGACGGGAAAAGCCATACAGTGTGCTAAGGCCTACTCTTATTTCGAATGCGTATTCTGGTCCTCGGTTTTTCGTCCCATCCGAACGACTGTAGGTTGTCAGGCCCTGGGGGGTTGGATGGCCGAAGGTTAGAACGTGCGCGCTGTATCATAAGACCTGTCATTGAGTCAACTGGCGCGGTTTCGAATTCCCGGTTGTATGTGACAAGGAATAGGGGCGTCTGTCCAACCTCGTGGGTTTTCTCCGGGTCCTCCGGTTTCCTCCCACTGCTAAAGACCCCTACGCGCAAGCGAATTATTGAAATAAAATTAAACCATATGTTAGTCCCGAAATGATCTAGTTTGTGTGGAGTGGACGTCAAACCCCATTTCACTCTCTCTCTCTTTGCCAGGCCCTGCGTTCTGCACCACTGACAAAGGTGGAACAACGCCGGAAAATCCTTATGAACTTTCCCGGACAACACCAAGATCGAACACAGGAACCCCGCATCGTTTGAAAAGAGAAATGTCAGACATGTTCGATCCCTGTATTGGCTGAGAAAGTTCATCCAGATTTTCCGGCCTGACAAGAACAACTGTCTAGTCTTTCGGATGGGGCGAAAAACCGAGGCCCCATGTACACATTGGCGTGCACGTAAAAGATCCCTTGACAGTTGGATTTGGATAAAAGATTAGGCCGTAGTGCCGCTGTCCGGGGAAAATTTCCCCCATAGCACACTGTATCGGTATGCCCGTCTTCATTAGCTCAGTTTAGGAGCAGAACATTAGGACGGTAAACCCCATTTCATTTCCCTCGGATACGTTTTCAAAGAAATACCAAGTCCAAGTTTACCGGTGAAGTTGCAGACTGGCATCTGGACTATAAATCAACTAGTGTTTGGATAAACCTGTTTTTAAGCCTGACGCGTTCACTGTTGTGTAAAATAACCTTTTACCGCCCGCGGTCACAATGAAGTGGATATTCGAATATTTAATTATTTGCATTTGGTGCATTTTTCAGATTTCTAGAAATAGTGAATCACTCATATCAACATAATTTCCTCAAAGAACAGTGCATGGCGTATGGCATTTCATTTCAATGAATTAATATGTTTGAAATAAAAAAAAATATATTTAATTTAAAAAGTTTCAGCTGACCTCGAATAACGAATATCCAAAAATGAGTTCAATTCATTTCAGTATATGTGTCATTGTCGTTCGCAATTCTTGAGTTTCTTTGTCTAAACTCATCAAGCGAAATATTGCGAGGAGAAAGAGTTGACAGGGCGGATACTTGTATTGACGACCGTTGGGCCTCCATCACGGCGAAGAATAACGGACATGATGAGAAAAGGAAACTAGTCTGATGCACGTTTCCCGCACCCCACACGTAGATCATTTTCTCCTCGAATTTATGTCTTTCTATTTTTCAGTGGATGCGAAGATTATTTTTTTTTTGCAAAGAAGGGCCAATGGGTCCCTGTGCCACCCCCACCCCCGGCCCACCGTAACACGCCCGACGTGCCAGTTCGCCTTTTAAATCTTTCTTTTTTTTCAGTGAATGCGAAGATTAGTTTTTTTTTTATTTTGAAAAAGAAAATATATGTCAATTTTTTGCAAATAAGCACCGATGAGTACCTGCCCCCCTCTGGCCCACCGTAAAACGTCCGACAATCGAGTTCACCCTCAGATACTTATCAACAGAACAGTAACTTACATTACAGTATGGTTGATCTAATGTACATTCTTCCGTTGGTATAAATGTAATGTTTAACATGGTAACACAATTCATCTCTACATCAAAACAATGATAACAGTGTAATGTTTCAGCTGGTACAACTCTCTTTAACGATATATTCACTGAAAAAAAAACAAAAAAACAATAACAGAGCAAGTTATATATCTTTAACACATCTTATCGAAGAGATCTATTTATACTGGAAGGTATGCATCTTAACCGATATATTCACTTAAAGGGACAATAACACTCTTGCTGGCTTGACAGCTCCAGAAAATAAATAATAGCCTTATTCTAAGTATTAGATGTTTAAGTATCCCACCTGTTGTGTAAATTATCCATTAAATCCTATTTTACTTGTCCATAGGGTTCGAAAATATTTTTAAATCCAAGTCACATTTGAAAAGCTTTACGTTAGGCTTTACAAATCATTTAGTTGAATTTTACCAATTTTTTAAATTAGATGTGTTAAGATGAAATTTGTATCATCAATTAATTGCAATATTGTAAAATAGTACAATTTGTTGACCAGAATAAAGATTGGGATATATTATTCAGTTACAACAAGAGTGGTATTGAGCCTTTAAAACACAAACAACAGAACAAGTTATATATCTTTAACGGCATATATAAGAGGTCTATTTATACAAGAAGGCATACATCTTTAACGATATGTTCACTGGAAAAACAACTGAATATATTTAACGTCCTACTGTTCTGGTCCAACTGGGCTAATGAAGACGGGCATACGCCATACAATGTGTTATGAGGGACATTTTGCTCGGACAGCGGTACTATGGCCTACTCTTATATCGAATTCCAACTGTCCAGGGATCTTTTACGTGTACAGAAATACTCAGTATACCCTACTCCATGGATGCCCACCGTCACCTAGTATTTATTTTGTACGACAATTTTGAATTTGAAATGGTATCTGGTATTTTAGAAATCGTTAGCACCTACCCATTATCTAATATCTATTCTGTGCGACTGTTTGGAATTCAAACTATCTTTTGTTCTGCACAAACTATTTCCAGCAGATACATCATACTTCTTTTTAGTTTGAATAAATAAGACAAATACATTTAATCAGAACTTCTGTCAAGCAGTTATATTTATTTTACACTTACAAAAAAGATCCATTTTCGTCACATCATTGTCTTCATTGTCTTACATCAAATAAAGAATTTCTGTTTAAAATTATAATTACTGTTCAAATGAACAATGAAACGATAAATAGCCTACTGCTTTGCACATGGAATTTTTAATGAGCAACAGGCACGCCAACACAGATATGAAATAATTGTATCACGGTGGTCTTCTAAGGAAGACATTTCAGCTATTAATTTATTAACGTTCCCTAGCTTTAGATAAAGAACACAGAATTAAGAAGTCTTAATTATGAGCTGAATAGTCGTCCATAGAGCTTTATCCACCCCAGTCAATCAAATGTGTTATAAGTTCCATTTATTCATACGTAAAAGGGCGTGGTGTGGTTTCGAATCCCCGGTTGTACGTGACAAGGAGTAGGGTAGCCTGTACAACCTCGTGGGTTTTCTCCGGGTCCTCCGGTTTCCTTCCACTGCTAAAGACCCCTATGCGCAAGCGAATTATTGAAATAAAATTAAACCATGTTAGTCCCGAAATGACCTAGTTTGTGTCGAGTGGACGTTAAACCCCATTTCTCTCTCTCTCTCTCTCTCTCTCTCTCTCTCTCTCTCAAGAAACATCTGGTATCTAGAGTATGTTCCCAAATCGTATTTCTTCACGGGTTTAGCGGCTGTGGCAGCACATCAAGGATGCATGGCATTGGGAAAAGACCGTTTATGGCCTACTATTAGGTCATGTTTTTTTCTGTGGTGGCCATCTTATAGTCGGGAGTGAGTATCTTCCTCTCCTCCGTAAAGGAACAGCCTTCATGAACAATCATGATAACATTTACTCAGAACAATTTTAATTCAAGTTTTAAAATAGCACTTTCTCTTTTTTTCACCTATTATAAATAGTGTGTATATAACTTATCTAATTTATATGTTTATATTATTTAATAGTATGTATACATAGCAGATCTGTTTATTATATGTTTTATATTCTTTGTACGAGGAGAGGGGTGATATAGGCTATGCCTATAGCTATAGGCTATATTGTTTACAAAAAAAAAAAAAGATAATATTTCCGGGTCAGTTTACAGAAATACGTGACGTAACAGTACATCATAAACTGTCCATATTGCGTCATCGTAATGAAAGGTGTAATTTCTCAACCTTTGTTTTTCCAACGGCACATCTTGGAACACATGAAAAAATAGCGGAACACCTGGCTAAATATATATGAAAAATATTTGACGTTTTGAAAAATAAAAACATGGTAAGTCAGATAGCATACAACCGTAGACAGAGACTAGTCATAGACACATAGAATGACTCAAACTAAATAAAGAAAAACACAGCCATGAACTTATCAGTAGACACCAATGAATACTCAATTGGTATCATGTGGTTTTTCGCATTTTCTTAGTGGGAAGATCTCAGTGTGCCACGACACACTGGTTGAGAATAACTGCTCCAAGGACACTACTTCAGTGTAATGTTTCGATAACCCCAGTATACATTTATAGGGAATAATGCCAAAAGTTAAATGTTTTAGTCTGTGCTATATGACGTCATACTACTTTTAATGAGCCCATTTGACATATTGTGTAACACTACCGCTGCCACATATCTTTGTTTTGTCCTGATCGTCTAATGGTTTGTTTGACTCTAGACTGACTACTGTTGCATCTCTCTTCTTAAGGACTTAACCATTGTGTTTTCTCACCTTACCGAAATTAAATATATAACCGGATAAACGATAGTTTTTTGGCTATGTCACATCAGTTAAACAATAGTCTACATTACAATATTTAAAATTAACATGTCTTTCTCTCCAAACCCAACTCCTGTAAAAGCCTAAAACCAGCGTGGAAATAGATTCGGGAAACCAGTAAATCGTGAAATGGTCGTCTAAAGAACCCAATGCGTGTCTAATTTTAAAGAATCTGCACGATATCTAAACTTATTCTAGCCCAGATGTCTTTTATAGGTGCCGAATGACGTAGGCTAATTAGTAATTAGCCATCTTAGATTTGAGCAAAATTTGGGAAGTTATAAAGTACACTTAAAAAAACGCAAAAATTAAAAAAAACAAACAACAAAAAACGTAAAGGTAAAATCATAATACAATTGTCTAATACAATGTGTTATGGGGGTAATTGTGCCCGGACAGCGGCGCTACCTAGGGGGTCTTTAACCTGCGGCCTATGATATACACTGTACCTCGAATTTTTTCGTCCCATCCGAAAGATAAGGCGCTTTTCCTTGATATCTCCATTCTGACTGTGACTTTCTGACATGAACTAAAATATGAAAGTAGTCATTGCGTATGTTACTAACTTTTAGCTTCTGTGATGAGGGTCGCCGTTAAGCCAGTACGACGAAAACGAGCTGGATTACATTCGACTTTCGCGTTACAAATGGATACAATCAATCAGTGTTGACGTTTCTCGTGGTTTACCCACAGTTCCGTGCGTCGTACGCCAAGAAGTCGACCGTAACAGATGGTTTCATTGGCTAATCCCTCACGCCTTCCAGATCCTAGTATAGTACAGACAAATAAAATGAAATTTTCAACATAAAAACCCCCAAAAAGAAACGAAATAGGATCTGTGTTTTAATCAGATAGCTATATAAACTTAACGAAACATAGCTGGCACTGTGTCTTATCGCGACGGGATTAAAGGACAATATTGGTGCCAGTCATTATCACATATGTGATAGAGCTGGTTAAACACATTCCAAATATACTATTCAAAAAAAGTAGGGGATATTTGATTTTGGGGGCATAATACTAAAATATGCAAATGACTACGAAAAAAGTCACTATAGAACCTAACAGAAGAAACATTTCCAGTTACATGTGACGCCCAAACGCACCAATAGCTACCGCATCGAATGCAGTTGATGCTTGGGATCATCATGGGGGTCCAACCCAAGATTTGCACGACTCTGACTTTGAATGTTACAGTCATTGTGGCATTGAATTCCAGGGTGGAAACATCAGTTTAATTGTTTTAGTGACCAGAAAACAAATTTTGATATGCGTCGGCTTACCCAAAATGAAAGGTTACGTGCCCTTGGCATGCTACAGATCGGCACAATACAGGCGGTTGTGGCGCGGACGATGAATGTTTATCAGTCTGTCATAAGCAGGCTATGGTCCAGATACCGTGATACACAATCTGTACAGGACAGACCACGCTCAGGTCGACCAAGGGCGACAACTCAAGCCCAGGATCGATTTATCCGTACCTTGGCCTTGAGAAATCGTGTCATCACAGCAAATCAGATCAGCGCTCGTCTTCAAACAGACACTGGTGTGAGAGTGAGTGGCCAGACGATTCGGAATCGACTGCATAGGGGTCACCTTCGCGCCCGACGTCCTCGCGTGATCCCTTGTTTGAGAGATCATCACATTCAGGCAAGACGTCGTTGGTGTAGGGATCGTCAACACTGGGATAATCGACGCTGGAGCAATGTGATGTTTTCAGATGAGTCAAGGTTCACTGTTGATTTTTTGGACAGACGTAGGAGGGTGTGGCGTCGTCGAAACGAGCGCTTCCAAGACGTTAACGTCATCAGACATGATCGATTTGGGGGTGGTTCTGTTATGGTGTGGGGAGGCATCACTGTTGCTGGAAGAACGGCTTTACATGTTGTTGCAGGGCGTGTTACAGGCCAGTACTACCGGGACAACATCTTGGCAGTCCATGTTGTGCCGTTCGCACGACGTCATGGCCGCCGTTTCATCTTCCAGGATGACAACGCAAGATGTCACAGAGCCAGGATCGTTACAGGTTACCTCCAACAACAGAACATCACCACATTACCTTGGCCAGCACTGAGTCCCGACCTCTCCCCCATCGAGCATGTCTGGGACATGCTTGGACAGAGGTTACGTCAACGTCAACAACGTCCTGCCAATGTCCAAGAACTTGCTGCTGCGTTGCAACAGGAATGGGACAATCTGGACCAAAATGACCTTAGACGTCTCATTAGGAGTATGCCACGTCGGATCAATGCTTGTT